AACCATGGTTCCACAAAGTTGGGTTCATTTTTGCATATTTTTGCCTCAGGTGGCCAAATTGAACACGGGTTACACTGCCGGTTGGAAGAAGGAAGGCGGGGAAATCTGTGCCATGGGCATCCATGGGCCAGAGTCAAAGGATGGATTGGTTTCCATTAAACATCGTATAACATCGTGATTTACCGGGATTTGAATGGGAATATGATTATTTCATGATTATTTCATGATTATTTCATGGGAATATTGTAGACCCCCCTGGTGATTTGGGTGTGTTTTTGAGCCCTAGTAATAGTCCAGTTGGATATTTTAGATTAGTTTTCCCACGCTTGGAGATTTTTTTTTGCAACGTTTCCGTGTTGGTTCCATTATTCACCGGAAATCCAACTTGACTATGGACCATGGATCAAAACCAATTTTGTACATGTTTCTACCATAGTTTGTGGTGGATGAACGTGCATTTTGGTCGGAAAAACATCGGAAAACCCAGGAAAAATTGACCCGTGGTCGGCAGTGGGAAATCTCCAGCACCTTGGGCAGGTGTGGAAGTGATTGAAGGCTGGATGAAGGGTGAAGGGTGAAGGGTGATCCAACCCCAATCTACGGCCATAATGATGGGGCATCAGACATAGGATAACCCAGGTTGGTGCAACGGCTTAAAAAAAACAACCATAATTGGGGATCACCGAGCTGAAAGGTTGATTAACCCCATGAGATTTGTTGACATGGCTTAGATCCTCCAAAATCGTGTTTTTTTTTCAGTTTTATCCTATGATTCTGATGATATCGCAATGTTTAGATCGTCCCGACCCGTTTGAAACAGGATTTCTGTAGGTCTGTAGATACTCAAAGTTGCTGACTCACCAGCTACGAGTCTGACTAGGCATTGGCACTTTCGTGGATTCTGAAACTGTCGCAGTGCAACTGGGCTGTGAATTTGGGCCAAAATATGATGTGGATTGGGGTCCAGACTGGGTAACCCCCGAAAAGATTACATTGTAGCGACTTCATGTGCATGCTACAATAAACATTACTGTACCACATCTGTCGAGTAAATTTGACAAGTTTGCATGATTTATACCAACATTGTTGATACTTGTTTGACCCATTTCAATATGTTTTGACATAGAGCTAGATTTAGGAATCAGCTATAGCTGTTCACGGAGCACCCAAGCATCAGCACCATCAAAGGTTTCGAAGTGGCTGGGTGGGTGAACGGTAGGTCAATGATTCGAATAAAAGTTTCATGCATGTTCCAGCCTTCTATTGAGGATGGAGAAATAGTTGATGCATGTTGATGGCATTTTTTTGGGGCAGCAGTGTATGTAGGATAGACTTTGTTTCTTCCTGGATACATAACACCACTGAACCCCTCGCGGTTCATTCTAGATTTGGTTTGCCTCCCAGTCCAAAATTCCGAGTACCTGACCGCCCCCAATGGAAACGTGATGGATAAGGGACAGATGAAGCTGAGAAAATCACGGTTTGGGATTCATGACAGTGAGGTTACCCTTCATCTACGTGGAGCAGGTGGTGGATTGGTGAGGAACGTCATGAAGGAGGAGGCGTTGGAGCATTTCAAGACCAAGACCTTCACTTCAAAAGAGCAGGTGCCCGAGGACTTCAAGAAGTTCATTGAGAGCATCAGCTCTGCGAATTCATTGCAAGTTCTGAAGGCAAATGCCCACGGATATCATCAAAGGTTGCAGAAACTTCAGGGCATTCTGGAGACGAAGGGCGGACATCGTGATGGAAGCAACGAGAAGTGGATGGAGGATGAGGAAACGCCAATATTTATATACTGGCAAAAGACACATGGTTTTACTATGCTTTACTGGCAATCAAAGAATAACGCATTAAAATAAGAAGAATACCTGTAAAACTATGTACCCTCTGGTTACCAAACGTGGTAATGGAAAATCCACCGTTCATCGATGATTTTCCCATTAAAATACCCATCGTTTTTGTTTGGATTTCACATTGCATCATTGCCATGTTTGATGACCGGAGGATTTCATGGTTTTCTGCAAGCTTCTCATGCCTGAAGATCCAGGCAATGCAATGATGGCAGCAGCCGCACCCTGAAAGGCCGCCGGCATGGTGGCTGTGGCATCCCACGATAGATCTATTGACAGCCATCCGATGGACTAGGGGCCCTAGGGGGCATCACTTTGCAAGGCCATGGAATTCGGTCACGTGTTTTTTCCGGGGCATGAAAAATGGCATAGTCAGTTCTGAAGTCGCCGCAACAGCAGGGACCCCTATAGACGTTGGACAATGCACAGCAATGCATAGCTGGATCCGGCAAATTTCATTATATCCCCATTGTTCTATCCCATTCTGATCTCCCCTTGAATCTCAATTAAATCCAGTTCCCATTGTCAGTAACATTGGAAGTTTTCACAGAACAACCATGGTGACTTGAGGAGACCCCCATGGCTTTAAGAAACCTGCATACAATTTTGGGAATCATAATCCATCAACATAGTCCCTTGGATAAACATAATTATAGCTATGCTATGATCATGTATTATAATAATAATTCATTACTCAAATATACTCAACAAAAAATGGGAATTTTTATGATCCGAAATGGGGAGACCCCATGGCTTTTCCATGAAAAAAACATCGTTTCAACATCGATCTGCCAGGCAAACACATTCTGATTGCCTGTGGTGGTTTGCCCTCTGAGCCAGACATCCCGGGTGTGGAACATGCGACGCTTGGGGATGCAGTTCCAGCTTTGATGTACCCGGCCTGGTAAACGTTTACAAAAAACTATGGTTAAAATCATTAAAATCACAATTTTTAATGGGAAAACTCACTATTTCAATAGCCATTTTCAATAGCTATGTTAAATTACCAGAGGGTAAATATGACTCGAGTTGGCTTATGTTTTATAACTATAACAACACATGATGGTTATTAACACAGTCCAGTTTTGATTTGTCCATCATCAAATATCACTATGACATCACACATGACAAGAGTAAAGACAATTATATAAACATACATACATACATGCATGCATGCATGCATACATACATACATTCATACATACATACATTCATACATACATTCATTCATACATACATTCATACATACATACATACATTCATACATACATACATACGCACACACAGACAGACAGACAGACGGACGGACAGACAGACAGACATACATACATACATACATCACGTTACCTACGTTGGGCCTTATTTTGCAACCCCAACTGCACCACGAAGTCTTGGCAGAGTATGTGTCTCTTTCATGGTTGGGTTAGTAGATGGGTTAGTCCCCATTACCAATTTATATGAAGACATATTTCCCACAAAAAAATCTGATCATTTTTTCCCTTGAATATCATTACATATATATATATATACATTAATAATATGTTTAAATGGATCACATCCTTAAGTAATGGGTGAGGCAAACAAATTTTTGGTGATCAGCGTCCAGGAGACGACGTGATATCAAAAAACCGGAGATACGACGCAATCACTGGCTGGTGGTGACTGGAACAATAATCCAACCATAGGAAAACCATAGGAAAACCATAGGAAAATGGTGATTAATAGTGGTTAATGGTGGATAATGGTGGTTAATGATGGTTAATAGAATCAGGGTGAATGAGATATCTGGTTGGTGGTTTGGAACATGGCTTTTATGACTTTCCATTCAGTTGGGAATGTCATCATCCCAACTGACGAACTCCATCATTTTTCAGAGGGGTTGGTTGAAACCACCAACCACTAATCAAGTTGTTGTAATTGTGATGGAAAAACAAGGTTATAAACATGTGATGTTTTGGGGTTTTCCCCTTAAAAGGTCAAAAAAGTGGGGAAACAACTCCCCGGTTTGTCAAACGACCATGGGATCTGGGGAAGCCGGAAAATCCCACCAACCTGGTTGGGTGCCGATGTCAGTCAGCATCTGTTTGACCATCAGACCTTGAAAAAAACAGAGATGGTCTTGCAACCAGCAGCCCTGAGTCTTGCTCCATGAGATACTGTAAGAGGAGACAATCTCTGAACTGTGTAAATCTAATAATTATATATAGATCAATATAAATTATGACATAACAACCTCACTTCGGCGTCATTGGAATAATGGTGAATATTCGGGGTAACTATCCCCAACTGGTCAAACCCTTCCGGAGACCGGCTGCTTTCGAAGGGAAGATCGAGGGCCGAACTTTTCAGGTTGGTGAATCATTATTGTTTATCAGTTGGTTTATCTTTCAGGTTAATATTTTGGTGGTTCATTTTTTCAGAATGGTTATTGGTGAACCATTATTGATTTAATTGAAGGTCATGATTTAGTTTATCTTTCCGGTTATCTTAATAATGTTTACTGTAATCAATAATGATTCAGGTGGTCAGTACCTACGGAAATTTTCCAAACCTCCTGATGACTAGCCGGAAAATGTTCACGCTTCGCCATGGACGATAAACATGGGGAAAGTCACTTGCCTCGATTTTAGCAGCAGGATTTTTCTTCTAATTTTCGTTTTTGGGGTGCTATGATTGACTAAGACTTTGCCACGGAAGCTTCCAAGCAGCCGAGCCAATTTTCAATCAGGATCAACAGCGATGGATTTTTCGAGTTGGAGGAACAACCCAAGAAGGTGCCCTGGCGGGTGGCATTGACTTCTGGCTGATGGTTGCAATATGTTTCATGTTTCATGTGTTTTTTTTTAAAAAAATCATGTCCCTCCTTTTTTGACTTATATATCTGGTTGGTGGTTTGGAACATTTTTTTATTTTCCATAATATATGGGATAATCCTTCCCATTGACTTTCATATTTTTCAAGATGGTTAAAACCAGCAACCAGATATAGCCTTCTGGGAAGAGTTGACAAGAAGTGCCACCAAGCAGTGGTGACTGAGTTTCATGCCACGGTGATTTGATTCTTCGAGGCGTAGGCCTCGACCTCATGGTCAACGAACATTAGGGGAACCCCCCTAAAACCTTTGGTTAGTCATCATTATCCCTAGTAAAATTGCTATGAATAGATCGGAATCCACACTATTTTCGGAGATGAGACACCCATGTAATTTTCTCCAGTGCCTCAGAAACTGGTTGGTGGTTTAACAGTGGTTTGGAACATTTTTGATTTTTCCATATATAATTTTTATGTGTGTATACATATATATATATTGGGAATAATCATCCAAACTGGACTTTCAGATTTTTCAGAGGGGTAGGTATACCACCAACCAGGAAATGTTCTCATCACCAGCCCACGGCTCCATCGTACCACGAGGTGGCCGTGGTGGGTGCTGGATACATCGCGGTGGAGATGGCCGGCATTCTGCACGCCATGGGCTCAGAGACGCACCTCTTCTTCCGCCCCTCGGATGGGTTACCTGATGGGTTACCCTCTGGTTATGTCAAAATAGCTATTGAAAATGGCCATTTATAGTGGTTTTTCCCATTAAAAATGGTGATTTTCCATAGTTATGTTAGTTTACCAGAGGGTTATTTAGTTATCCGTGACCCAAAAGAAACACGAAAAATTGACGAAGAATGATTTACTGTAGGAGTTTTACTTGGAAGAAGTTTCATGTTTGTTTACTTTTCTTGGAGTGCTATAGGTTGTTTTGGGGTTGCATCTAGCTGGTCAATCTGTGGTAATCTTCTCAAAGTGGCGATGTGTGGAAGAACCATTGGGTCAACCTACGCAAGCTGGTTACTACCCTTCGGTAATTTGGAAATAGTTGATTTACCAATTAAATATGGTGATTTCCATAGTTTTTTGTATGTTTACCAGAGGGTAATGTTAGACGCTATAGCCATCTCTTACTCCGTGCTGATATACACCTTTTTTCTTGCTGGAATCAACCCGGAAATCAGACATCCCCAGCTATCAATCCCCAAACAAGTCCTACCCAACCGGGTGATTCATTCAACCAGTTCCCCAGTATATAATCCTTTCATAACTAAATCCCATCAATATTTGCACCAAAAAAATCCCAATGTTTGTCTTAAACTATCTCAACATCCTAGATGTTCCTAGATGTTCCTAGATGTTCCTAGATGTTCCTAGAAAGTTATCCCATATATATATATATATATATATTTGGTTGGTGGTTTGGAACATGAATTTTATTTTTCCATATATTGATTGGGAAGAATAACCCCAACTGACTTTCATATTTTTCAGAGGGGTGGGTATACCACCAACCAGATATATATATATATATATCCCATAGGATCCATGTATGCTATATATGGTAACATTTACCATCACTGTATCCCCAATGTTAGCATATATACCATACATGGATCCTATGCGTATATATATATATACACATCCCACATAATGATATATATATATACATATTATATACAGATTTACATATCCCTTCCATTTTCATCGGAAATTCCTGGGGATTTTTCTCCAACCTAAAGGCTTCGCCTAAAACCACCTTCAACAGGCGGCGACACGGTGCTGCGCCGCGGCTTTGATCCCTTCTTGGTGGAGACCCTGATGGAGGCGCCATGATTTTTGATGGAAAACCACCATTTTTGATGGGTAAATCAACTATTTCTATGGCCATTTTCCATAGCTATATTAAATAACCAGAGGGTATATAGGTATATATTATATATATATATATATATACATATTATAGCTACATATTACATAGTGTATGTATATATATATATATGTAATTAGTTAAATTAATATAGTAGTTGATGCTAGTTATATATAGTTAGTTATAAATATATGATCTCCCATATAATATAGTTAATCATTTAATATATGATACCATATACTGAGATATAATATATAGTTAGTTGATGTTAGTTGTATAAATACATATGTATATATATATAGATGATACATATACATATATATATATATATATATTCCATAGAGTTAATTGTATATAACTGTTAATGAACATATACTGTAGATTTTCCATATATAGTTAAGTTGTATATATAGTTGGTAATAAGAATGGAATATAGCTACATATTATGTTGGATATATATATATATAATACGGTATTTAATTAAGAGCAGATAATGATAGATTCGTTAAACAGAAACACTCTCCAACTCAACTATAGCGGATAAGTAACTATAGGAATAATATATGGGCTAGAACTACAATGATAATGATATAATAGAACTAGTTACAATTTGTTGATGGGATATTCATGGGGATGTAATGGGAAATTACATGAAATTACTATGTGTATACAAAACTATCTACAAATTTATAAATATTCAAATATTGAATAAGGAAATGGAATATGTGGGAATGGAAAACTCTCCAACTAGCTTTAGTAAATAGTAAAACTAACTTTTGAGTTGGGATAGTTAGTTTCATAACAAACCCAACTTTAATGTATTATAGTGGGATAATATAGCTAACTATAAATCTTTGATGAGATATTCACCGGTATGTACTGGGACATAACACTAAGTATATTTCCATTAATGGGATATATAACTACGGGATTTGACCAGGAAAATGCTGATTCAATGGGATTTAATGGGATATATCACCAACAATATGGGAGGTGTAACATATTTTATGGGGATATGACTGGGAATATCATGGTATCATACTGCCAACTATAATCAAGAGTTGCATTATATTAACACATTAATTGAATTCTTGAGGGACGGTCAGCAGTCCATGTTCGGATTCTCATGATCTGATGGGGATGGGAACGTCCATGATGATTAGCCCCACCTCCGGTCCGGGGCTGGTTATACATAAACGTTCTGGTAAGCTATTGGGGACGGCTTATGGCACTAGCTTTACCGCATTATATACATACTGTATTACATCATATTACATCCTCTTACCATCATGGCAAACCCAACAGTTAATAAACCATTCGCAATGACTCGCCAGAAATTGGTGGCATTGACATCAACATTTTCCAAGGAATTGAACTGGAAAGCAGCCCCAATTTGTCAGCTATAGCTGATTGTCCCTATAAAAAGATTGAGGTTTAAGCAATGAACATGGTAATTCATAGATGATCCATGTTTGCTAAATTGGTATTGGCATTAATATTAGCATTGGTATTGATATTGGCATATCCATCTTCGCATTGGTATTAGCATTGGCTTTTGCATTTTGGCATTGGTATTATTGGCATTGGTATTGGTATTGATTGGCATGTATTGTCATTTGCATATTGGCATTGGCAGTTGTATTGGCACTGCTATATTGTCACTTGAATCTTTACTTTTTTAGTCGATCCTCTTGCTCGCGTGCTAGGCAATGCCCTCGGCTCCTTTTGCATTTGCTTCACAATCAGTGATTTATTGTACCTGTAATTTGCATTAGATGGTATGTGTTTGTGCTGTTGCAAGAGAGTTCAGTTAAATTTCATTAGATCATGAGTCCATTGTTTTTCCGAGATTGCGTTCACTCAGATTTTCCAAGCATGGGTTGTGGTTTCCCTTGTGGATCTGCAATCTTTGCATCTGAGCAATTTGTTGTACCCAGACAGCCTCTATGGCAAAGTCAAAGAGCCCCAGGTTTCGTGTCACCCGACTCAGCAGCCGCTGAAGTGCGCGACCATGCGCTGAGGCTCATCGAAATAAGCTCATGAGCAAAACGTGGAAGAAATATGAAATATGACCCTGTGCCAGGGACTTATGACAACGACAACGACGTTGGGCGAAGGACCATGCAGCGGTATAAAGCCGGAAGATTGCGAGTGGTTCATGTGATTTAAAACCAAGATTGCGATTGGTTTTATAGTTTTGATGTCGAACATAAATAATCCCAGATACCCAATGTTCAGCATTATGCATCAATAGTCGCAAATAGTCATTATCAAGCAAGAATGATTCATCAAATTGCATCATGATTAATCATTCCATATTATGATGAGTCATGATATATTTATTCATATATTAAGTCATTAATTAAGTCCATAATTAGTGATTTTAAATCCAAAATGATTCAGTCATATTAAGTTCATTTTCTGTATCATAATGTCATAAATATGTCATTACCCTCTGGCTTTTTGACATTCACAGTTCGCCATGGTTGGTATCGATGGCCCTAATCGAAAGGCGATGGAACATCATGGTCCCATCCTGCACCGCAGCTTGGGCGTGCTGAAAGTCATGGCGGTGAGTTTTTAAGGGGGAGCATCCGATGGATTTGGGAAATATCATGATAATGGATTTGTAAATCATGATTTTTCCAATCATGATGAAAATCGTTATTTGGGAAAGAACCATGATTCATGGTTAGATCCAATCATGATTTTTCATGGGCTTTACTTGGATCTAACCATGAATTCCATGGGGATTTTTCCATGGGGATTTCGTACTAAATCATGGTTTTCATGGTTGGAACATACCGGGAAGTCACTAAGACGGAAGCTGAAAGACGGGCTCCGATGACTTTATGGATGCCCAATTTGGAAGTGTAGCACTTGGGTTGTCCCTAAATCATCGAAATCCATTGGGAAGTTGTTCAGGGAAAATGATGCTAAATCATGGGATTCCAATGGAATTCTGATGCATTGATCCAGTGTAAATGGGGTGTCGGTCTAAGAAACATTGGGGTCAAAGGGATGTGAACGAAACCAACTATTGGGACATAAACAAAGTAACAAGTGGAAACAAAAACGAGGTAAACTGACTGCTGAATTTATAGGCTAATGGCTAGTAGATGATTCATTTGCTATTTGGATGGGTATCCAAGAAAGGGAGAGTTCCTGGTTTTACCATCCCTTTTAAAACCCTGTTTAATCTTGATCTTGAATTTGAAACATAAAACCCAACAAAGTATGACATACATACATCCCGGCGGATGCGAAACCGCGCGAGCGTTTTGAGGGTTTGCTGAATAGGACCGTCAGAATCACCTGTAATTTTCAATATAAAATGCTGTTCCGAACTCTTTTGATAACTCAATTTTGGTGAAAAAAAGTGGCTTCAAAATCTATTGAATTTTGACAAATCCTTGCAAATACCATGTGCATCAGACGTGGATTCGACGAGTTTTTTTAACACCCATCGTCGGCTCAGCGATCCATCAGTTTGGAAGCTGTCTTCGACAGCAAGTTGCCATTATGGCAGTCATAACGCCACTGCCAGCAACGCAGGTACAGCAGAGCGTAACATGCAGAGCGTGTTAGAAGTCAAGTGGAAACAGTGCAGAGCGTAACATCCAGAGCGTGTTAGAAGTCACATGGAAACAGTGCAGAGCGTGTTAGAACAAGTGCAGAGCGTAACATCCAGAGCGTGTTAGAAGTCACATGGAAACAGTGCAGAGCGTAACATCCAGAGCGTGTTAGAAGTCGCATGGAAACAGTGCAGAGCGGGACATCCAGAGCGTGTTAGAAGTCACATGGAAACAGTGCAGAGCGTGACATGCAGACCGTGTTAGAAGTTGCTAGGCAAAAGACAGAGCGTAACATCCAGAGCGTGCTACGCAAGTGATGTTAGGCAAGAGCGTGTTCCACGCACTCTGCACATGACGTTAATACCCCACCCCACCCCCCCCACCCCACCCCAACCCCAAGACAAAGAGCAATCATCAAAAAAGTAGCAAAACGCACGAAGAGCGTGTTAGAAGTCAAGTGGAAACAGGGCAGAGCGTAACATCCAGAGCGTGCTACGCAAGTGATGTTAGGCAAGAGCGTGTTCCACGCACTCTGCACATGACGTTAATACCCCACCCCACCCCCCCCACCCCACCCCAACCCCAAGACAAAGAGCAATCCTCAAAAAAGTAGCAAAACGCACGTACGGTTTTGCAGCCGTAGGCACATACATGATAGACTTGAGTCTCTGTTTGTATCTAGAGTAGTTTCGTTTAATAGCACCTTTCACATTGATTTGTTCTGCCATGGAGATTGGCATACAACCATATTTTAGATATGTGAGCACATGTTCTGTTTATACTTTCTTACATATGTGTTTTCCTTTGGCATCGTTTTTGATGCCCATCTCTCATGGCGAGTCAGTCAGGCTCCAGTGTTTTTTTTTGCATTTTTTTGCATTTTTGCTGAGGAAATAGCACCCCCGCCAGCATCACCAAGCAAGAGAACAAATTGCTGACCTACACGGCCACCGAAGGGCCAATGGGGGAGCAGAAGGCGATTTCGGACTTTGTGACTCGGCCACCGATGGCCATGAGGGCAAAAATCAGCCAGAGTTGGGCGGCAATCTTGGAAAGATGATGACATAATATGTATGGTGAAGGGGCCAGGGGTTACTTGAAATTGGGTAAAACTCACGGTAAAACTATAACTGGTAACCATTGGACCATGAACCCCCTCCTGCTTGTTGATAAACTCTACGACTATGGTGAATTCGAGCCACTGGATGTTTTTTCTGGAACTGCACTGAACTTCCAGAAGCTGCTTGGGATGATGATCAGGTTTCGTATGTTTGAGATAAACCAGATTCTTACGATCCCATTTATAGGTATGACATATTCCCCCATAAAACATCACCCAGACCATTCATGTATGGTTTATTGACATTTACAATGAATCCATACCATGCTGGGCAATTTAACAAGGATGGTATGGGTTTCCTGGGTATGCCCCAGGTGATGTTTCAATTTTCTGTCGGTCCTTCACGGAAATCAACAATTGTCATTGGGGGTTCGTGCAAGAACTTCACTACGGTTTTTGCATGTTTTTGTTTGCCTTCAAATAACAGTATAACATCCTCAGGATATGGATTTGTCCAAACATGGCGGGATACCCTAGAACAATGTTGACAAAAAATGATGATTGGCCATCAACCGTCCTTTCCCCAAATGTTCAGTTAACCTGTATATAATGATTGGATGTGGCACCGCAAAATCTACAGGACAACAGTGGGAAAACTCACATTTGGCGATAAAACCTACAGTAACTATGTTCTTTCCTTTAGATTTCCAGAAAATCAACAAAACATTGAATGGTTCATGATTCCACATGTTGAATGGGAGCGTCCAGGACTGCATTTTGCTGGCCATTGGACGAAAACCAGTGACCGTCTCTTATCTTCGCAATGCTAGAGAGGTTCATCCGAGTCGGATAGATCATATATTCGATAACTGGTTGGTGGTTTGGAACAATAATCCCAAATAATAGTGGTTTAATAGTGGGTTAATAATGGTTAATGAAAATATCTGGTTGGTGGTTTGGCACCATGGAATTTTATGACTTTCCATAATATATTGGGAATCTTAATCCCATTAGACTTTCATATTTTTCAGAGGGGTAGGTCAACCACCAACCAGATGATGATCTGACTCAATGGATGATTCTTGGGATTCATGGGATATTCCATCAACGTTGGGATCCCGAAGGGGATCCTGTGGGTATCGATCGGAAGGTATCTTTGGAGATGATGCGGAAAGAGCATGGCATGGGATACCGCATGTATTTTTTGGAGAGCGAATGGGAGATTCATGGAGATTCGCCATGTAGAAAATATCAACGAATTGACCAAGAAACATGAAACTACAGTGTTTATGGGCAAAATGACTTGTGGAATCTTGTGGAAGTCAGATCTTTCTGGAGTAATGTTTAGCCGATTCGATGGGGGATACAAAATTAACATCATGGCCTGAAAAAGCATTTGCTCGCTGAGTATCTAAGAGTAGCCATGCTCACAATCGATCGATGGCATGGTTGGTGTCGACTCCATTTTGCACACCGTAAGCATCACAAAACCCTCGTCGTTGCCCTTGCAAGGACCAAATCGGCTTGAAAAACACCAGCGTTGCTCTGAACAAGTCAGGCAGGACGGTTGATGTCCATCGCGCATAAAAGGGCCGTCTGCCCATTTACAGTTTTCAAAAGAGTCCACCCAGCATACAGTTAGAAAGGTCCTTAGATGACATGACTACTTGAATTCCTTCCACGATGTCTTCCTGGACTGGATTGATTTGGAATGTGAATTGTGCCTTTGTGTTGATGGATTCAGGCTTTAGACTTTTAGACCATTGTGCCAACTTTCTGCATTTGTTCAATATAAAATCCATTGGAAGGCATCTATCCGGAACAGAAGCAACCACAGCTGTACAATTGTTGCTATGTGCATGCCCCATGCCCCAACACTTTTTTTTTTCGGGGGGTTGAAATGTAGGATTCCACCGTTTAATGATTGTTCTATACACTTGAGTGTTAATCCTTAACTTATCGACAGAGACAATGTTGCAACACTTCAATATATGTTTTCTTTGCTTGATAATTGATACTGTTTCATAAATTATACCCTCTGGTAATTTAACATAGCTATGGAAAATCACCATTTTTAATGGGTAAAACAATCCACTATTTCTATGGTCATGTTCAATAGCAAACTGTTAAATTACCAGAGGGTAGTAGTCTTTTTCCATCATTTTCGATGTTCCAACTAAACATTTGAGTGAACTCGCCTGCCTGCAGGTCACATTGTGGTGGATAAGTTTGAGAACACCAATGTGCCAGGAGCCATCGGAACCCTCTTGGGGTTGCATTGGCTTGGTTGATATGGCTTCCCACAATGGATTAATGTCGGTTAATAATATTAATTAATATTAAGTTAATATCCCAACCAATCAGGTAATATCAGGTATTGGTATTACCCATGATGATAACCTATAATCATTCACCAACAGGGGGGTTGAATACTGCTCAGCTGAGGAATTAGTATGTTTTGCCCAGATGACCACCCATGTTTGAAAGTGTCTTTGTATAAATGCCCAACGGATCCAGCAGCTTTGGATCTCTGGGTCTATTTGAATCTATTCGAAGCTTGGTAATGCAAAGCAGTGACCAAAGGGAAGGATGTTCGCCATGGAAGAGGCATATATGACTGGTTGGATGTTTGGAACATGTTATTTTCCATTTCAATCCATTTCATCTATGGGATCCCATTTCCTTCCCATTGACTAATAGTGACGAACTCATATTTTTCAAGATGTTTTTTTTAACCACCAACAGTCAGCTTGTGAGCCCTAAAGGATGATCGTACATCATGAGCCCGACATGACATGGTGTATGTATGTAACCATTGTTCCCATTCAAATTGATACCCGAATTATCCCGAATTTTTATACAGTTTTCAAACGAAGCCATGGGTCTTAGAATTGGTTACAAGGAAAGTTTGAAGAACATTAATCAAAAAAACTAAACATCAAATTGTCATAGAATTGTCCATCAAAAGCCATCGTATGTGTGGGTGAGATGTTAAGATGGTGATGGATCATGCAGAACGGCATACCCTGTTTTTCATACTTTGGTAGATTTGTACATTTAATTCAGACATGTTGTACCAATTGACATGTCACTGAACCCTTTTACCAACTGCAGTCGACGTAGCTGCCCTTTTGAAGCTCAAACACCCGAGCTGCTGCCGGTGAAAACAGAGAAGGCGGCCGCTTGCTACGAGGACGAGGTGCGGAGGACTGAAGGTTGGGGACCTGGACATTTCCAGGTTATGAGCCCAAGCGGTTCACTGGGCAGATGAGTGAGTTCCATAGGAGAAGGGCCACCAAAGAAGAGATGGAGCAGGGTCAAAAGGAGATAAGACTAGCTGATGAAAGAATGAAAACAGAGGCTGAGAGTAGGGGTGAGATGCCTATACAAAACGGACCTGAAGAAAAACCTGAGGATGTTGTAGAAGGGGAAACGTCTCCACCGAAAGAGGGTAAGAGAGATGAACCTCAAAGAGGTACCCCTGCAAGGAATTCCAATCAGGGTTCAGGTGCCAAAGCGTTGTTGCCGCCTACACAACCTCCTCCTGATCCTCCTGCCCTTTCTCTACGTCAAGAGGTGGTGAACTCCCTTGAGAAGAATACGCCCGCCGACAAGGGTGAAGGCAACTTCAATGGTGGACCTTTGATGAGGGAGATTGCAACTCCCCCTGAACAACAAGCAGGAGATGATGCAACCCAAGTGCAAGGGCAATCCATGGCACCTCCGTTGTTCACCGAGGAGCAGCTGAGAAACTTTGCTGCACTGCAGGGACAAGCCGCATGGATGTATGGGCCCCAACAGTCGTTTTTCAATCCAATTGGTTTTTCACGTCCTTCATTTTTGGATGGAGATGCAGCCAGAGCTTCAGTGAGTCAACATGAAAGAGACATGGAGTTTCTGAGAATGCAAGCAGTGAGAGACCGAGAGGAGAAAGACGAATGTAGAAGGCAAATTCAACTGTTGGTAGAAGAGAACCGTCAGTTGAGAGCCAGGTTTGAAAGTGCTAGCAAGATGCAGACTGAGGATGAACCTAGGTTTGCGACTCCTGAGGAACAGCCGGATCAGACCAGCCCAGGTTTCGACATGGATGTGGATTGGTTGAAGCGGCGAAAGGAGGCTGACAGACCCCCATCAAAGGAGGCTGACAGACCCCCATCAAAGGAGGCTGACAGACCTCCATCAAAGGAGGCCGACAGACCCCCATCAAAGGAGGCTGCCAGACCCCCATTCCTACCTGAGGCTGCAGAGTTCAAAACCCCCAAGGAGGCTGCCAGACCCCCAAAGGTGGAAGCATCACAGCGTCCCCAAGAAGAAGGAAGCCGAGGTGCACCTGGTGGAGGGAATGCGCAGTTCACTGAGAAATCTTTGGAGTTCATGGTGATTATGATGGAAACTATGAAGGACCTACACAAGAAGGTCAACGAGACAAAGGATGAGACTGGCATGGTTCGAGGAGTTGAGATTGTGAGGTCCGGCACTCCTGACCTGCCGGTGTTGACCCCCTGGTCACCAAGCCAGGGTCCCCTCCAGTTGGGAGATTGGCTTCTGACTGTGGAGCCGATCATAGCTGATTTGTCAGCAACTTCAGAAGTGTGGTGGTCGCTGATGGTGAAGTCTGCAGAGCAGTGGTACCAGAAGCACATGATGATGCCCCCACTAGATCGAGTTCAACATGAAGTTCAACCGCCCCCAGAGGTCACCTTGGAAAAATGGTCCAGGTTGGAAAGAAGAACGGCATCGATGCTGCTTCAATCTGTGCCGGAGGTGGTCAAGGAGGAGTTGGTTTCAGCTCGACGGCTGAGCGTTTTTGGGATTTTGACGCGACTGCTGTTGACGTATTGCCCAGGTGGTGTCTTGGAGAAGCAGACATTGCTGAGAAGTTTGGAGGAGCCAACAGAGGTCACCACGGTGGGCGAGGCTCCTGCTGCAATACGTCGGTGGCTACGTTGGAAGCTGCGGTCCCAGGAGATCGGTGCAGTGACCCCAGACCCGGCACTGTT